CTTCCTCAACACCAGGACTAATCACGTAGGTTTGAACCACAATGACAAAGTATCCTTCTCAACACCAGGACTAATCAACTAGCTTTGAACCACAATGACAAAGTATCCTTCTCAACACCAGGACTAATCAACTAGCTTTGAACCACAACAACAAAGTATCTTCCTCAACACCAGGACTAATCAACTAGGTCTGAACCACAATGACAAAGTATCCTTCTCAACACCAGGACTAATCAACTAGGTTTGAACCACAATGACAAAGTATCCTTCTCAACACCAGGACTAATCACCTAGGTTTGAACCACAATGACAAAGTATCCTTCTCAACACCAGGACTAATAAACTAGCTTTGAACCACAACAACAAAGTATCTTCCTCAACAACAGGACTAATCAACTAGGTTTGAACCACAACAACAAAGAATCTTCCTCAACACCAGAACTAATCAACTAGGTTTGAACCACAACAACAAAGTATCTTCCTCAACACCAGGACTAATCAACTAGGTCCATTCTTTGTTGTTGTGGTTCAACTTCCTCAACACCAGGACTAATCAACTAGGTTTGAACCACAACAACAAAGTATCTTCCTCAACACCAGGACTAATCAACTAGATTTGAACCACAACAACAAAGTATCCTTCTCAACACCAGGGCTAACCAACTAGGTTTGATCCACAACAACAAAGTATCCTTCTCAACACCAGACCTAATCAACTAGGTTTGAACCACAACAACAAAGTATCCTTCTCAACACCAGGATTAATCAACTAGGTTGGAACCACAACAACAAAGAATCTTCCTCAACACCAGAACTAATCAACTAGGTTTGAACCACAACAACAAAGTATCTTCCTCAACACCAGGACTAATCAAGTAGGTTTGAACCACAACAACAAAGAATCTTCCTCAACACCAGGACTAATCACCTAGGTTTGAACCACAACAACAAAGTATCTTCATCAACACCAGGACTAATCAACTAGGTTTGAACCACAACAACAAAGTATCTTCCTCAACACCAGGACTAATTAACTAGGTTTGAACCACAATAACAAAGTATCCTTCTCAACACCAGGACTAATCAACAGGGTTTGAACCACAACAACAAATAATCTTCCTCAACACCAAAACTAATCAACTAGGTTTGAACCACAATAACAAAATATCCTTCTCAACACCAGGACTAATCAACTAGGTTTGAACCACAACAACGAAGTATCTTCCTCAACACCAGGACTAATTAACTGGGTTTGAACCACAATAACAAAGTATCTTCCTCAACAACAGGACTAATCAACTAGGTTTGAACCACAACAACAATGTATCGTTCTCAACACCAGGACTAATCACCTAGGTTTGAACCACAACAACAAAGTATCCTTCTCAACACCAGGACTAATCAACTAGGTTTGAACCACAACAACAAAGAATCTTCATCAACACCAGAACTAATCAACTAGGTTTGAACCACAACAACAAAGTATCCTTCTCAACACCAGGACTAATCAACTAGATTTGAATCACAATAACAAAGAATCTTCCTCAACACCAGGACTAATCACCTAGGTTTGAACCACAACAACAAAGTATCTTCCTCAACACCAGTGCTAATCAAATAGGTTTGAACCACAACAACAAAGTATCCTTCTCAACACCAGGACTAATCAACTAGGTTTGAACCACAACAACAAAGTATCTTCCTCAACACCAGGACTAATCAACTAGATTTGAACCACAACAACAAAGTATCCTTCTCAACACCAGGGCTAACCAACTAGGTTTGAACCACAATAACAAAGAATCTTCCTCAACACCAGGACTAATCACCTAGGTTTGAACCACAACAACAAAGTATGTTCCTCAACACCAGGACTAATCAACTAGATTTGAACCACAACAACAAAGTATCCTTCTCAACACCAGGGCTAACCAACTAGGTTTGAACCACAATAACAAAGAATCTTCCTCAACACCAGGACTAATCACCTAGGTTTGAACCACAACAACAAAGTATGTTCCTCAACACCCGGACTAATCAACTAGGTTTGAACCACAACAACAACAAGGAATCCTTCTCAACACCAGGACTAATCAACTAGGTTTGAACCACAACAACAAGGTATCTTCCTCAACACCAGGACTAATCACCTAGGTTTGAACCACTATAACAAAGAATGTTCCTCAACACCAGGACTAATCAACTAGGTTTGAACCACAACAACAAAGTATCTTCCTCAACACCAGGACTAATCA